TCAAATTCATCTGTGCCCCCTTTGTAACGATGACTTTGTAGAGGGCGTCCACACAAGACGCCACTCAGTCGACGAGAAAAAACGGTAAAGTGGATTGCCTCTTGCTTGAGACCAGCTATAGACCGAGCTCTAAATGCCAGTTGCTTCGCGCCTTCATTATTGTCGCCGCGATATGCATCATCATAGAGTTCATGCATTTCCCTGCAAACAGGTAATGTTCGAACGGCAGTAGACGGTACATACGAAAAAAACATTGTCAATAATGAGTTGAGGTGGTTCTGACCCATTGACCTAAGCACCTCTATCACTTTAGAACTTCTATCATCGCGTTGAATTAGTGGACACGGGCGTTGGACAACGTAGCTTTGCTGCAATCAGTGAAAAATCGATATCTTATTGAGCTATTTCGTAACATTGCCATTGATTTCGCTTTCAGTCATCGTTGATCTATGCGTAGTTTATATTCCTTAGCTAAGGGCGACAACTGGCTGTAGGTGTTCACTATTTCTGTTCTGCATTTTGATGAACCGTTTGTATGCGTTCCGTCTGCTTTGTCATCCACGTCCCCAAGACATCTGGCCTTTGCGCTATCAACCCCACTTAGAGCATAACACTTGCCATTCAATCAAAAAAGTCGTCATTTTGTTCATTCTGGTCAGTAGCATTGCTGTTTTATTATACAATGTATCGTCAATCTGTTCTCTTTCTCACATAACGCGCGTCAACTGAAATTTCATTCGGTTACTACCCATTCGCTTTGTTATTATCCGTTCAGAGTGTCGAATGGTTTTATCATCAGAGTTTTAGGAGCACGCACACTGATAGTGTTGTCAGAGCGCGCAAATTTTTTGCTCGGATCTTGGACTGAAATAACAAAGCTCTCGCCGATCGACGCGCAGTATGCGACTATTGAATGTCTAAGAAGAGCAGAGGAGGCTTGCTCGGCCCTGCCTCCACGCGCCGCCCTTCACCAGCGCAAAAGCTCTTTAGAGTTACTGACACGGCCACCGTTCAATTTTTGGAAGTTTCAGAAGACGTGAATCTTTGTTCGCTTGTTGTAAAAACATCTCAATTTATTTTTCAATATCATAGCATAATTCAGGATGTTACCACCAAAAGCGAAGCTGAGGGAGGAAGAATGAGTGTTCGATGAAGAGTTTAGCTAAAGGTAATTCACCGAATTTGGACCTAAACCAATAAATATATAATCACAAGCGCCGTTTTAAAAAGGCGGCACAAGCGGGTAACCGCGCTGCGGTTCTGCATCACGCGCATCTGTGAATCTAACGCCTTTAGGAAGAAGCATTCAGCACGAAGCGTCGTGGAGCGCGCCTTGTCCCTTTGTTTAATTTATTTCCCGTCTACATAAGCGCGCTTCGAAAAAGAAGGAAAGGCGGGAGCTCGTGGCTCCGTCCCGAAACGAAGAGCACAGCACATTTAGACCGCGTGCGAAAGAGCGCGCTTTGCGCTCATTACCCATTAGATCATCTATCATCATCATCATCATATAATATAAAATCGCAAGCTGCATTCAAAAATGCGGCAGAAGCGGGAAACCGCCGTATCATATAATATAAAATCGTAACGCTAACTCAAAAAAGCGTCCAGAGCGGGAAAGCGAGCGGTGGTCCCGGCGCGCGCGCCCTGTTTTTCACGGCTGCCACCGCTCGCTTTCCCTCTACTAATACGATTCTTTTGCCTTTTCGTGCAATTTACGTTTCTGCTAGTCTAATAGTATAGAATCGCTGCATTTCAAAAAAGCGGCACAAAGCGAGAAAGCGAGCGGTGGTCCAGCGCGCTTGTCTTATGCCATAGGATGTGCTGCGAATGCAGTAAATTCTCTCTCTCTCTTCCGTTCTTAAGTCTTCTTCCCATTGAATTGTGTATGTTGTTTGATGTTGTTTTGTATGTTGTATGTTGTTTTTTTAGGTCGCCGTCTTTTTTGGTGGCATGATCTGTCTTCCATAATTTTATTGGTCGTATCAATCATGTTTTTGATATCATTGAAACTCTAGCAATATCGTTATTTATCTTATCTCGTATAATATAGGTTAACAAACCACAGTTTGAAAACGGCGCACAAGCTGAAAACCGCGGTGCGGTCCCGAAGCGACAAAGTGCTGGAACATCTGAGATTGCGCTTGGAAACAGCAATTTGTGAACATTTTTAACCATTTTCTTTAGGTATTTTGCTCACATGAAACTGAATAGTGAGTCGCATTCAGAACTGCGGCAAGCGAGTAAATGCGGTTGTGAATGAGGGAGCATGGTGATCTAGCGCTGTTTCGAGAATTAGCTTCTTTGAATGTTTTCAAATTTTTCATCGTAGAGTTTGCTCTTTTCATCTCATCCTCCCTCGCCTGTTGTTAAGATGCATTTTTGTGTCTGTTTGTGAAAAAATTTCAGAGAGTCATGGCTTGTATATAGCCAGCTGTTCCTAGAGATTGATAACAATTGCGGTAGCCGCGAGATCTTTGGTGCCTTTCCAGTTCTTAGTCACCATTCCTGCTTTAGTGAAAAGAAAACGAAGTGGAAGCAGCGTACAAGGCAAAGAGGATGGAATTAAAGGTCGCTAAAGGTCAAAGTGGACTTTGGAAGATTGGACTTTTCTTATTGTAAAAGGATTACAGCTTGTAACTCATCAAAAAGCTTTTAATGTCTATGAGGCATTCTGGACGAGGGAAGGGAAGGACATAACTGGCACTTTCTCGCATCTAATTGTATTTTGACGCATTTCATGGCTAAACCCCACTTCGAAAGCGTTCGTCACTGTCATTTGTCGCCAAAGGCGAATTACAGGCTGCCGGGAAGCTGGTAGAGCAAAATAGCAGATCTGGCGCACTAAAAACTTTGTCAGCTATATGAGGTGTCCGGCACCACACTGACAATTCGCTGATCTGACTGCAGCGCCGCAGCATGTTCATGTGAAAAGGAAAGACGACCTCGATTACGACGGAAACACGTTGAGTGACGCCCAGGATGACCATAAGTTCTGATTTCATTCTTTTCAGTTACGTTTTTCTTCTTCTACGTGAACGTGTTGCGACCGCGCTGCAGCCGCTGCGGTCAGTTCGGTTAGCTGCAGTCAGCTGCGGTCATTTGCGGATAATTATTTCGAAGATTATTTCAGAATGCAAAAGTGGTCGAGGGATGAGTGTGTGAGGCTTTGCGCAGACAGTCTTGGGTTCATTTGTGCTCGCTCGCAATAATTTTGCATTCCGGCTTCTGGCTTTGCAGGCATTGCGAAATAAATTGATCTTTGCTCTGGTCGAATGCTCTGTCAATGGGCCTTTATAAGCAATGCTTTTGTAATTCTTCGCGAATTCAGATGCATGAGCCAAAAACGTTTCACAAGAAAGAATTCAAGCATGTACGGACTCGATTAGAATTATGAGGAATTGAATATGATTGAAAGAAAGCATTCACAGTCTTGTCCCTGATCTAGAAACAGCTAATGCTTTTTAATCATAAATCAATCTGTCAGTGTTCTAAACGGCATTTACTGTCCTGCTTGCTGATGGAGATCGGCTTTTCCGGGGGTTATACGAGCCACTTCGAGAGAAGAGCAGAAATCATGAGTGGCTTCGCAGCTTGAGTTCGCCAGGCAGAAGTTGACGCTATATGCGTAGAATCCGAAGAAGAGAATGTTGTAAACAATTGCGAGGAAGCATCACCGGGGACAGAAGAGAAAGAAGAAAGTTTTTCAACCTCCGAAACTGAAAATTCTTTTGGTGACGTTGATATAACCGCGGAAACGGTTTGTGAGATATTAGTCCAGCAAAATCTATGAGAGCTTTTTTATGGGCAGCTGAAGCTCTTGCCCTCTACCGCTGAACTGACAAGAAGCCGCCCGCTTTTATTGATGAGAAATGGATTCCGATAAAAGCACTCCACATCATCTTGAATAATGCGTTAGTTTCAGAAAGAGGGTAGACCTTGCAATTGGATATGCCTGAACATTTATCCTCTAGGTCCGAACCGCGCTGATGGAGCAACATGCTTAGAGCTTCCAGCAGGAATAGTCAAAAATGTGCTATAGATGTTTCTCTCCGGATTTTCTCTGCATGATCAAATTACGCGAGATTGCCTTGAGGATCAACAAAGAAGGAATATTTATGGAAAACTTCAAGGCTACACAAAGCTGGATTCTAAATCTCAAAAGAACATGCAGAAAAGTATCAAGAAAAATCACCAAGTCTGTCTCAAGAAAGACCTTCATTGAAGGTGAAAAACTTTGCTTGTCGGAGGATAATTTTGTGAAGGAAGCCACAATGGCCTCCAATGTATATATGCCGACGGACGTCTGCGAAAAAATTGTTTGTTATCAGTGTTATGTTATATGTTTGGAAATTAGTATTTTGTCAAACAAAAAAATCAGAGCGTCCCTCCAAGAACCTCATCGAAAATCGTTGACAAAGGATACTCGCATAATGAACGATCTGTTGATGCTAGAATGGACACAAAGGTGTGTGATGCCAGAAAGTCAAGTCACGTCCTAACAGTCGATTCTAGGATGAAGCCGTCAAGTCGGTCATCGTCATATTAAGTTAAGCAGTCGTCATAAAATGACTCAGCAGTAACTGCTATCTCGATGTAATTTCTCACTTTTGTGATAGTCCAATCAAGTTCGCAGAATACACCTTGTACACTTTTTCGATGAATATTAGAATTAATCACCAAAGAAAATTCGCTCTGGCTCTCTTCGATAAAAAGATATTAAAATTTGGAAATTGGTGGACTTGTTTGTTCGAAGTAATTTTGAAGACTTCACTATACACTCTTAACTCTGTCTTGGCGCTGATGAGCTGAATCAAACACCTTCCTACCATTTCGGAAGAATTGTTCATTGTTTTACGGAGTGCGAAAAAATATTGCGATCGCATTGGATTTCATGTTCAGGTGGAACCAAAGATCACTGTGGAAGAACAGCAACAACAGAAGAAGCCAACGTGAAATTCTGGCTGTTTTGTGCAAGCCTCACGAAGAAAAAGAGAACTTACGAACATCAGCCAAATTGTTGAGAAAAAATCACAAGGAAACGGAGGCTAATCAAGCACTGCCACAGCGCAACGCAATTTTTCTTGTGTGTCACTGAATAATGCATTCTCTGCCAAACCTAGCGGAACTGTAAATCTACTTTGTGACATTTTCGACAACCCAAAACAAAAACCACATCTTTAACAAAGTGAAAATGTTTAATGCAACATAAAATATGGAAACACTTTCAAATTTGAATCAACAACCAATAAAAAAACAATGTCAAGCGAGAAAAAACAACAAAACAGCGAGATATTTAGTTACTTGATGAGGAAGAGATTTCAGGCCATCATAAACTCAGCAAGATTTTCATTCAAAGAAGATCAGTAATAGAAACGGGCATTTCCTCAACCACGGTGTTGTAAAACTGTTCAATATCCTTGAGCTGACGAGCATCGTTGTCAGTAATAAAGTTGATGGCTACTCCTTTTCGGCCGAAACGTCCGGAACGACCGATACGATGAATGTAGTTTTCCCGGTTAGATGGCAAGTCAAAGTTGATTACCAGTGAAACCTATGCAATGAATTTTTGAAAATTGAAAAGACAGAACAATGTTGATTCGCACCTGCTGAACGTCAATACCACGAGCGAGTAGATCAGTGGTGATGAGTACACGAGAAGAACCCGATCGAAATTCGCGCATGATCACATCTCTGTCTTGCTGCTCCATATCTCCATGCAAACTGGACACGGTAAACTGCTTTTTTGTCATCTGCTCAGTGAGCTGTTCTACCTAGAAGAAGAAACTTCTCACTATTATGGTAAAATTACAAGCTTACTCTACCTTTCTCCTAGTATTGCAGAAGATAACGGCTTGAGTGACGTTGACGGCATCATAGAGATCGCAAAGTGTTTCAAATTTGAACTCCTAAAAATATGCTTCGATAGACCATGTGTGCTTCTAGAGGCAAGTGAAGATTGCTTACGTCTTTCTGAACATTTATGTAGAACTGCCTGATACCTTCAAGTGTAAGCTCTTCTTTCTTCACAAGTATACGTATAGGGTTTCTCATAAACCGATCGGTCACATCGAGGACATCAGCAGGTATGGTGGCCGAAAGCAGCACAACCTATAGATAAATCATTCGAAAAAAGGAAGACAAATAAGGAGTACAGAATCACTAACCTGCACTTCTTGTGGAAGAGTTTTGAACACCTCGTAGATCTGATCCTTGAAACCACGCGAGAGCATCTCGTCAGCTTCATCCAAGACGAACATCTTGATGCGGCTAGTTTCTGAATTTGGTAATCATCAGCAGGTACGAAAATCAAAGAACGAAGGACTATTTCGACGTATAGCGTGCTTTTCCAAAGCGGCAATCAGCAATCTCAGTACGGCAGTAGGCAAGAACGCAAGATAAATTTTTCGGCATCAATATCATATGTGTTGCCGCTTAATAACTTAATGATCAATTTCCATGGTTCGGCCATACTATTCATGTGATTCCTGCAATTCCTGCGGGTCCCGTAACAATGTATATTGCGAAAAAACAATGTATATATGCTAAAATCCTCAAAACGCTCCGTAGTGCGGCACATCGTAAGCCGAGAATTACAGGTCGTGGGAACTACAGAAATGGCTGGAATACCTCCTGGAATAGTATGGCAGGTACCTAGGTTATATGCAAGTCGAGGTTTCCAAGAACAGCAACAACAGCCATGCAAAAACAGTAAATTGCAAAATGATTATGACTGGAGAAGTTAACACCTAAGGGATGAAACTTCCATTCTACATAGAATGAAACAAAAGAAAACGAAGCTAAATGGTCAAAAAGTGATAGTGATGCGTATGAAAGATTCGCGATGAAAGCTTAACAAGAATATTCCAAGCAGAACAAAACACAAACTAAGACTTACGGAGGACATTACGATTGATCATGTCATTTACGCGACCAGGAGTGCCAACAACTACATGCACACCGCTTTCAAGCTTGCGCTGATCGTCACGGATGCTAGTTCCACCAATGCAGGCATGCACTTTGATGTTCATGTAGTCTCCAAGTGCGCACATCACTTTTTGAATCTAGAAAAAATAAAAGCATGTAAAAAGAGACAAAATCAGTTTTGGACATACTTGCTGCGCCAATTCACGAGTGGGAGCCATCACAAGTGCCTGAACACATGGCTCGTTCTCATCGATGCGCTGCAAAATCGAGATGGAGAAAGTAGCAGTTTTTCCTGTTCCTGACTGAGCTTGTGCAATGACATCGCGACCTGAACAAGGAATTTACCAGAATAGAGTGAATAGATGTAAAATAGTGGATATCAAGAGCTACCTGTTGTGCAAGGAACGATGGCACGCTGCTGGATAGCCGAAGGCTTTTCGAAACCAAACGCATAGATTCCTCGCAGAAGGTTCTGCTTCAAGTCCATATCATCAAAGCTGGACACGACTTGTTCATAGTTGCCCTAAATATATCATTGTGAAATCACCAAAGATTATCTGAAAGCTCAGCAACTACTAGGGTATGCAACTAATAAACAAAGTTTCTAAGTGTAGCTACTCCCATAAGATTGATTTGGTGAAAAAATGAACTGTGCTGGGTTCACGAACCCTCTGGCTTCGTGAATACCGATTCATGGGTTAAGCCTACCCACTGGGTTCGTTGATGAATACGGCCACATGTTAGCTAAAGCTTTGAGGGGCAGTCAGATTTCATCGCTACATAAGCACTTTCAAATGTAACAAATGCTGATAACAGCAGTACGAGAATTTGGGCGGGGGGGGGGGGGGGAGGTGCGGGCCACAATAGATTTGCTGATGAAGAAGCATACTGTTAATCATGCTCTAAAAACATTTCTTATAGAACATTTGCATTTTTTGAAGAGTATGAAATTAACTACAGCTTATAAAAGCTTTTCTTTTCATCTTTCCACCAACTCAATACTCCAATGAAAAAAAGGGAAATTAGATAAGTTTACTCCAAACTCACGCACTCAGCTTGCAATGAAAATTATGAAAATAAAGCCTGATGATCGAAGAAGTGAAAGACAGATCTGAAGAAACATTTTGTTGAGATAGTTACGCTTTTGCTGGTCAATTAACCGCTCCAGAGTCAAAAGGGTTTTGCATAAAGCAACATGCAAAAGTCAAACCATATGGAACTTTCGCAACATTAAGAATATGGTTTTCATAGGGATCGTTCATACCGCGCACAAAGGCGGACGAAGCCGGACAAAGCCGGACAAAGCCGGACAAAGGCGGACGAAGGCGGACAAAGCCGCACGAAGGCATGTGTGAGTGTGTGTTTCGAGAGAAACGAGACGAGGCGTGTGTGAGTGTGTGTGTGTGGTTGTCGAGAGAAACGAGACGAGACAAGACGCGTCTTCGTGCGCCTTCGTCCGCCTTTGTGCGGCTTCGTCCGCCTTCGTCCGGCTTCGTCCGCCTTTGTCCGGCTTTGTCCGGCTTCGTCCGCCTTTGTGCGCGGTATGAACGATCCCATATAGAAGCTTCTTGCTTGAAAGAAAATACAAAATAAAAAGGCCGGCTTCTGCCATGTTTATTGAAAAATGTGAGACGGATGTCCTAAGCTCCAATAGCGTTTTTTTTTTCACTGTCAAAAAATTATTAATACATCCATACCTCGATCAGGCCATCCGCGTCAACGGGCACATTATTGCTCATGTTGTACCCTGAAAAACTCAAAAAATGACTTCATCTGGAAATACAGAAAGGAGGTAAAACTGAAATCTGTACAAAAGCTGTGCCGACAAAATGAATACGAAATCTAGGATCCGTGACTAATTACAACCAAGGAGATTTTATGGAAAACTTGCTGGATCTTGATTGATCAAGAAAGAGAAGCTGGCAATAAGCAATCTTAGATGTAGTGTCCAGTTTGGCAACGCTTGATTAGGAAATGATGAAAAAACTTTAATGAAGAACGACAAGCCAGCGCACTATCTGTGCGACCGCATAGCGTTGCTGAAAACTCGGATCCAACGTGTGAAACCTCGCGCGGCGTCCTCGCGGCAGACGTCATTTCATTCCGCTGGGCAGCTTTCTTTCTTCTTTTTCTTGCCTTTTTGGAGGCTACTTCTTCATTTATCGACGTGACAGTGTGTTTTTTTTTGACGACCTAACTTCAGGGCCAGTTGTATTGATGACCTCTCTGGGGAAAGGTGAATGTCTGTTCCCCTCAGAATCATATGTTCTATTAAGAGATAACAACAGTAAATTGTTGTTTACCAAATTTAAGGGAGCCAAGTATACTCCTAACAAATGAATGTCAAAAGATGAGGCTTTTCGATGAACATGGCGAAATATGGTTTTTTGTGTTATTGGTTTTTTTTTTCGTTTTTACTGGAAAGGATTAAAATGCTGCGCATACTGCAAAAACATTTTGGAAATTTCTAAAAGGGTTGAAGTTACTAGGAGATGGATAGGATAGGCGGTGATATTCAAATCTTTGGAAAACCAGGTTCAGGGTTTTCTTTCGAGCTGCGTTCTCCTCCCCGGGAGATGTCGATGCATGTGACTTCTATTAGGGTAGTACCGACACCGGTTCCGAAAGTTCCAGAAAACGACTTTATGATGAAGATCAATGCTCATCTGTTTTTTGTGATTTCACTCACGCAACACCAAATTTCAAATGCCGTCATTTAGTGCACCATTCGTTCATCGGTTCGTTATCTACGAAACGAAAATACTGCCATAGCTGGGGTTTGAGGTCGCTGTGAAACCAGCAACATTAAAGAATTATTTGTTCCAAGGCTTCAGGCAGCACACGATTTCATTGCCGCGATTCTTCCAACAAAACAAACAGTTACGAGTCTATTGCATGCCGATCATCTTGCATTCCGTTGTGATGTTTTCCGACACGACCAATCGTGACTAACTATCACAACCGAAATGCAGGATGATTGGAATGGACTCGTTACTGTTAGTTTTGTTGGAAGAATGGCGGCGTTGACATTTGAACTCTGCCCGAGGCCATAGGCTTAGTAACGCCTTTTGCATGTCATCGTAGCAGGACATAGGCTGGTTTTTGATTTGTAAAAGTTTGAGGTCAGTTTGCATTTGACATCGTCGCGTCAAGTAAAAGTTGCCCGAAGCTTTAATTCACTCATTTCATGTTGTATTCCGCATGCCATTACATTACGCATTCAAATCATATGGTGGTTGAACCGTACTATCACAGAACGGTGTATTTCATGTGGATGTTCCCGGAACAGGATTTCCAGCTACATTCTGGCTTGCACTCATGACTGGGGTGTGACCTATTTTCTATATTTTTTTTGCATGCATGCCTTCACGAAGGTTTTTTCTATCTCAAAAGCTGTAGGCAAATTTTTTCAAACTTTGTAATTTCGATCTTGTGTTCTGATTCGCGCAGGTTTTCTGTCAGGGTCCCAATTTTCCCATCAGTCTCATAAGTTATGCAGTTCTATATTTCTTTCAGAAGTGTGAGACGAAGCTTTTTACTATAGAGGTGGCTCCCCCCCCCTTCCATTCTTTCTTTTTATGACGGCGCCGTTTAGTTGATTCTCTGCTGAGTCGTAAATGTGTGACCCTCTCAAGGTACTCTCTTTTTTTTATCACGTCCCTTTTCCCTACCTGCTCTCTTATAAATGGTAACATGTTTCTCACTTCGTATGATTATTTGAGTCGTGCGCACAGAGAGCCTTTGCGGCATATCATTTCATTGAAAGGCACTGTCAAAAAACCATAGTCAAGCGAACGGGTTCATGAACTAACCCAAAAACTGGATTTTTGTGATACCATGGCCCAAACTAGTATTTTGCCAGCGGCAGCGCTACCCGACACTTTCGAAAATCGATAGATTTTGCTGATTTTGAGTGCGAACTGTGCCTCAGTATGACGATGGATTGAGTGTTTGTGTTTGCGAACAACTGATTGCTCTTTTCAACGGGTTTCGAGAGTGTTCTGTTCGGTCTGTTAGTTAACATCCTACAGTTCACTTCTTATGGTGAGAGCTATCCATGGTGACATGTCCTCTCTTCTTATCGCTAAGATAGCAATGTTTTTGCTTATGTAATAGGCAGCTCAGCATTCTGCTCCTGTTTGGCAAGTTCCATTTATTTAGCTCGTTTGTTTCTTCCCCCGAATACAACTTGCTTATCGTTCCATACATATTCTTATTATCATCTCAAAAACACGAAGACGACAGGAACGTGTTCATATCGTGAGAAAGACTGTCTTGAACCCAGTTAAATCTGGGTAAGACCTTTTTGTAATTGAGAACTCAATTCTTTTTCATGCTCAATCTTTTACTCAAGCAAATAAACTTCGAATTTTCGACTTTAACTTTTCAAAAGGCAACTCGATCTCTCTCTTGAACAGTGAGCTATTGCATGCACCTGCTGTAGTATCACCCTTACGGAGCAATAATCGAGGAATCAATATACCACTAAATTCTATTGTTAAATGATTGAGTAGATATCAAACAAATCTGATATCGATGATGTGTGTTCATACATTTCCTTTCCTGCTGTATCAGTAAACCATTAACGCGTCTTTTTTTCCATCAGTCTTTTATGCCCTCAACTTTCTGTCTTTGTTCATTTGCACAGTTTCTCACAGTAGATGCAGTTCTAGACCATCTGTTTGCGGTCATTTAAGGCGCATCAAACGCGGTTTATATGTAATTCATTCAAGTTTGTAAATAATTCTTGTTTTCTGCAGGAAAACGTTTTGTTCAGGACCTTTTTGATTAGAACGCTGCGTTTTTCTTGACAAGCGCGCATCCATCATTGATAAATATCCCACATGTTTGCGATAGCCTGGGGAACGGGTTTAGGAGAAGTGTAAAGGGTTTCAATCAATTGCTTATACATTTGCTGTGAATATTATTGTCTTACGTGGAACTCTGTTTGATATGTTCCGCTAATATTTTTCAATAACTAGAAGATGTCGGATTACGACAAGTATGCGGAGCAATTGCGGCATCCCGACAATCCAATCGTTTTCATGGAAATGACCGCAGGAGGTGCTCCGCTTGGAACGATAGTGGTAGGCGCGCAACTAGTTTCGTTGCTTGTGCGAACTGTGTCTAGTCTGTTTTTAGATGGAATTATTTGCCGATGTCACACCCAGAACTGCCGAAAATTTTCGCCAGTTTTGTACAGGGGAATTCCGTAAGGATGGCGTTCCTGTTGGCTACAAGAACAGTCAATTTCATCGCGTGATCAAGGATTTCATGATACAAGGAGGTGATTTTGTCAATGTACGTGTTTTTTTAGTTTTTTTGTGAAGATATCTTGCTTTATTATTTTGCTTCAGCTTTGACATCAATCTACACTTTTTGCAAGTCTTTTAAGTTTTTGATCTTGACTGCTTTTGCTATATCAGCTCAGTACAGTACGTGGAACTTTTGTCACTGATATGCTGAAAGCTAACTTTCAGCTTGGGCTGTGCAACTGGCTGAATTCATTGAAACTGTTTTGAGCCTCAGGTGCATGTCTGAGAAATTGGCATGCCAGTTCAAGAATTATTTTATATCTTTCCCGCTTCGAAAGTGAATCATGACTTTGGACCAGTCAGCCATTAGGTCTCGGCCAGGCTCCGCTCGAAGGCGCTCAAAAGCGCCCAAATTTCTTCATTCTCTCTTCACTTTCTGCGTGAAGATGAAGAGAGGTTCAAGAAATCTGGGCGCTTCTGGGCGCTTTGAAGTGAAATCTGGCCGGGGCTTTATGATAAAATACAAAGAAAATAAAGAAGATTTTATTTGCAGAAAAGGAACTAGTAATCATGCGGTTGAACATGGTGGCGTAGGTAAGCCTGCTTTCGGTCCACGTGCAGTTGTTATCATCCTAGCACTATTGGTAATACCTTGTCATCTGTCTCATTGCTTGTTATCACTCCAGCTAATATAATAATCTATAGTACATAATAGAATCTCCGGAATTGAACAGGTTTTTACAGAGTTGAGAGAAAATTTTCCTTCATTTACACCTGTCACTTAACTTCTCTGTTTCCCTTGCATTCTAAGGATAGGCTGTTAGAAATGATTCCAGTTAAGTACAAGTCTCTCGTTACCAAGTATATATCTTGCCACAAAATTGTAAGTGCAAGTAGCCGCATTTCTTTGTTAGTAATACACGTCAAAAATACACTGAAAAACAACTTTGTCTTGGAACTATTTTATTTGAACAGTGACTGGATACTAAGCTTACTTTTCAAAATGGCTCCCTTCGGTATGGAGTCAGTTTCAATTTCCTTCAATTTCTCGACATTCTTTGCCCTGAAATGCAGCTGGCATAGTGTTCTATGTTAAGAAGAGACGGAGTTTTTATTTTTCATTGCAGGGTGATGGAACTGGCATGATGAGTATCTATGGTGCAAAATTTCGGGACGAAAATTTTGAATTACAGCACAATGGGCCAGGAATCCTCTCAATGGTACTTGATACGTTATGTATGTTGTAAGTTCGCCTACTCTTGTGATTTTTCAGGCAAACGCTGGAACTGATACTAATGGTTGCCAATTTTTCATTACTTGTGCGAAAACAGATTTTCTTGATGGGAAGCATGTTGTGTTTGGTAATTTTTACTTTTACTATAGTGATTGAAAGCTATTTCACTTTTCTGTTTCTTGTGACTCAGGTCGTGTGCTGGACGGTTTGTTAACGGTGCGAAAAATCGAAAATGTTCAAACTGGAGCTAATAATAAACCGAAGATACCAATCCTTGTTGCGCAATGCGGGCAGTTATAGATCACGATCTCTTATTATTTATTGTTTTGTTTTTGTTTGTGCAAATGAATATTGCTGTCTGCGGTCAAATGTGTTCGTGAAAATGATTGGATTGTGCCAAAAGACTTCATTAGTGGTTTCAATCTATCTCTCACGAGATGTTACCTCAATTTGTTTTAAGAAGTTAGTTCAGAGACGGTAATGGAGGGTGCAGGACCTTCGGAAGACTACCAGTTTAAAGTGAGTTGAAGGAAGCTGCGCAAGTCAATCGAAATATATCATTCAGGTTGTTTTGCTTGGTGAAGGTGCGGTTGGTAAATCTTCTATGCTTATGCGATATGTGGAGAACAAGTTCAGTCCGAGACACATATCCACTATTCAGGTGGCATATCTGGCTCCTTATCGAGCTGACTGGAGATGAATTAACTGTTTCAGGCAAGTTTTCAATCAAAGCAGGTTGAAATCGATGGTGCGCATATAACACTGAATATATGGGATACGGCTGGGCAAGAAAAATATCACGCACTTGGCCCTATCTATTATCGGTGAGTCTCTTGCCAAATTTTCGCCTTGCAACAGTCTTTATATATGTTTTGCTTTTTGTTAACATTCTCCTTTGCTTCACTAACAAATTTGCAGAGGCAGTCAAGGAGCTCTCCTTATCTATGATATGACTGATCAGCGATCTTTCGAAAGAGTAAGACTATTTCCTCATTTTTCGTTTGTGATAGCACATCTCTGATCCTGTATATCCAGGCAAAGATATGGTTGAAAGAATTACAACGAGCATTGGGAGATTCGGTAGTAATAATGATTATTGGCAACAAACTCGATCTGGCAAGGAACAGAACTGTACCACTTGAAGAAGCTCAGGAGTGGGTTATTTTATTTTTAGTATCTATTCGTTTATTTATACTTATCTAATACTAACTGCATCATCATGATTGTTTTATTAGTCGAAATGGCTTTTCCAATGACGCCTTTATTACTGTTTCTTTGAACATGGATTTTAAATCTGCTTTCCATTTCTGTGAAGCAGTTTTTCGAAAGACATGAGCGTTTAACAATATATGTTGAGTCTTAGGTGGCACAAAATCAGCGAAAATTGTGCAAACACACGGGAAAGTGGGAAATTAATCTTGTATCGACTGTATCGACTACAAGAAAAGAATACAGCCAGTGGAAATTCGCATAGGTGTTTTTGTAGAGTTTGCTAATTGTATGCCTCTTAGCGCTTGACCAATTTGGACAAACGCTCATAGCTGCTTTCGAAAAATTGGCTTGCAAGAAAGAAAAGCAGATTTGAATCAGCATTCAAAGAGCGTCTAGTGGAGCAGGCGTCATGTGGAAAGGCCACTTCGACCAATGAGGCTTCCCTTGTTAGTTTCATTTTGATTATAGTATAGTTTATCTAATGCAGTATTTCCCATGGGTGTCGCTGCTGAGTATATCATTTGTGCTTTTGGTCTGGCCGTATTTCATTTTGATAGCGTTCATGCATCTATATGTGGCTCGCTGACCCTATACTATAAGTTTGTATAATATTGGAGCTGCGTCCGGATTTGCCCGTGCTAGCGCAGTGCTAGCACATGTTCTAAGCCAGGTGGACGCGTTCCTTATTGTTCAGTCGACATTCCGGCAAGACGCTGGCACGCTGCTGGCTTACGGGGAGCTCTAGACGCCGTTGGAGAAATAACTCGTAATTTTTGTGTCGGTTTCGTGATGTCAACGACATTTCAAGTTTATCTCAAATCCTCCACCCCCTGTTTATGAACAAAAATGGCAGAATATTCAGTTTGTTGATGAGAAGCGCTTCACTGTGTAAGGTAATCCCGCATATTCCATCTTCCAATGACTGTAGTAGAAAAATTTTGTTTGGATTGCGGTATCTGCACTTTTTCGGTGTCTTTGATGAGTGATGTTGCCAGGTATGCTTCTTCCATGGGTGCTATGTACGAGGAAACTTCCGCGAAAGAGGATATCGGAATAGAGCATGCTTTTGAGAAACTGTGTAAAGGTATGCTTCGTTTCTTTAATGGTAGATTTTTGACCACTTTTATTACTCTTCAGCAATGATCGCAGTAGCAAAAGACACAACGAGAAATCGTGCCGATGGTCATCCACGAGGGCGAAGAATTGAACTGGTCGATGACGAGCCGAGCCATGGCAGAGGGCGGTGTTGCAAGTAACTTCCCACAAATTTGTAATTGGCTGGTGGTGCGATTGGGCATCACAATTTGACTATCTTTAGAACGGGTAATTCACATTTCCCTAACGCGTTCTGTTATACTTAATTTGAAGTGTTCACATCCATCAGCGAGAGTCTGTATGCTACAAATTTTTACGCAGCAGAAGTTTGAGTATATATATCACAATTCTGGAGCGATTGTATCGTAGCAGAAGAGTTCAAGTTTTCCTCTCCGGTGCTTGATTGTTGTAGGTGTACTAGACCAGGTGATGACAGACAATGCTTCTAATCCTCGCATGTGTTTTCGGCCACGATGTAAATTTTTATGTGCGAAATTCACATTTCTATGTCACTTTGTTTTTGTTTTCCTAGTCGTTTTATCTTGTGATGTGCTTTATAAGTAAGATATATATTCTTGAACATAACATAATCTGTGACATCTTGTCACCATATCTGTAGATCTACTGTCATATTAATGATGTAGAAAGCCTCAGAATAATAAATACATTTCATCTTTTTTCATGAAACCCAGGCACCGATGGTATATCATTTCTTGCTGATACATCCATTAGGCCCCGGGCAGAGTTCACGCGATTTGATCGTCACGACTGAATCGCTACAAGACTTCTGCTACGAGTTCATTGCATGCCGACCAGCTTGCATTTCGGTTGTGATACTTTTTCAGCCCGAAATTTTTAAATGTAAAATGAAAATGAATGGAAATCCCGGCGACTGAATCGCGACGATCAAATCGCGTGAACTCTGTCCAAGGCCTTAGGGCAGATAGTCACACTGTGTTTCAAGCGACATACGCAGGCAAAATCTCGATACACGCTTTTCATCTGGGGTGGTCCGTCGCGCGCTCAATTCGAAGTATAGGCGATTCATCGCAGCAAAGACAGGTCGCCACTGCGCACGTTGTGGGCGTCTCTCGGATCCAACACTTTCGTTCACCTAACCCTATGCTGTCTCTCCGTAACACGTACCATCTTGACGTAAAGCAACGGCGGCGTCCAGTCTTTGCGTGTGATGAACTGCCTGTATGTTCAACAGCACAAAAAAGGCGAAGACGAGATTCCTTCCGAGGACGAGTATACTTAACACATTGACGACAAGGCCGATTTTTCGATTAATGCCATTTCGGACAGGAGCCTTTTTTGCTTTGCCAAACTTACGACCCACCCGTGGGTCGTATTGTCCGAAATGGTAGTCTTTTTGGAAGAAATTCAGAACAGGTCTCCGAGAATTTCCCCACAAGGGTTATCGAACGCCTGATTACCAAAATATGATTTATTTCAGTTTTTGGCGTTATGCGGTAAGGTTACGGTAGTCATTCTGTACCCAACATCACGGATTTTCATGAAAATTTGTGTGTCGGGGTTATTTCACGTGCTGATCACGAATATAGTGTCCACTTTGTTCACTACATTCTCACGGTGAGGCTACGGTAGCAGTACGGTGGAATTTTCGTAAAAATCAAAAAACTGATGTTAGAAGGTGGTATCAAAACTTGAGACTATCATTGTCGTAATCAGCATGCTACAAAACCTACATAGGCAAAGTTCGAGCTTCCTAGGATGAAAAATGCAAAAAATCATTAAAATCAAGAAAATCGATAATATTTCGATGGGCTAACGTCAGCCTGTTGCCCGCCCCGTATTACTCTTACATGTAAACTTATTTCTCCAGAAACAGCATCATCTTACGAAGAATCGAGCTAAAGCTTGTGCCTTATATATATCTACCGTTTACCCACCGTAACATTAAATTACAGTACCTCGAGCACGGACCACTCTGGCTGGAGCTTCACCTAAGTGCCCTCAATCATGTGCCAAAACCCCGTAGAATTCCGTCGCAAACTGGCAAAGATAACGCTTTATGAATCTTACGACCCACCGGTGGGTCGTATTGTCCGAAATGGCAGGACAAGTACGACTCACCGGTGGGTCGTATTATCGTCAATGTGTTAATCGTCCGTTTTTGGCATTCACGCCTATTAGCTGGATCTTGAATATCAGTAAGAGAGAAAAGCCGAGGTGTGCTGAGGCCGGATTTGACCCCCGGCCTCAGCACTCAGGAGATCGATTTGCGCGCCAAAGTTTTGTATTTAGGGGGCCAGTGTAAGGGCTATGGACAGCTATCGATGCTCGGCTACAGTTTGGATTTATCACATTCTATTCTCATTTCTGTTTTGGTTGCCGCACTCATTCTATATCGGTGCTCACACAGGGATGCTCAGCCCCCGAAAGCTCTAATATATCCTCCAACGTTGAATTATTGTGAGACCTTCTTGCCTTAGGGCTGGTTTTGTTATCTGATTTATGATGTTATTTCCTTCCGGGTTCTAGACTGGAACAATCTCAGTGCTCGTACAATACGGTCGCTTAATTTTGATACTCATACTTGTGAAGCCTTATGAGTCTCAGTTATTCACTTGATACTTGAACGTTGTTGAAATTTAGTTCGTATTTGTTTTGTGTTACTCGTTCGTATTTGTCTTGTTGATCGTATTTTATGAATGAATAGGGTTTAATTACCCAAGTTTGAGGTGTTGGTGTGGATTGGTGTGATTCTGCGGTTGCCCCCGCGAGTACTTCCTTGAATTCTGTTATTCTCTGCTACTATTCCATCGTTTAGTGAGTATACCGCGTGGCAGTGTTCCTTTCCAAGCCGATTGGCACGAAGACGCCGACGAAGACCGCTCCACCAAGTAGCACGAATCCAGTTACCCCCCCCCCCCCCCCTTTGACTTTCCCGGGGACCACTACACGAGGTAAGCGCGAACCTTCTATTTAGCTTTTTGTACAAACGCTGTTTTCGAGGAATGGAAAAAAATGAAGTACGGATTCGAAGCTGCAGAGAATTGACTGCAGATGTGTTCGTAGATGGTATATTTACAGTGCTGCAATAGAAGGCTGGGACCCCACAGTTAAAAAGTTTGAGAAAAAGAATGGTCAAAATATGAGAGGTGCTAACGAAAATTCTAGGACACAGCGAACCGATGCATTGAGAAGACTTTTAGGGTGGGCAATTTTTAAGATTTCGGACACAACGGTATTGAGATAAGTGGTTCTTTGCTTTACGAATCAGTTTTCAGTAGAAGATGATCAGGACAAAAGAGAACCCTATCTAGACAAAAGTGGCGGCTACCATTTCTGTGTAATGGCAACGCTCTTCGCAGTATTTATCCCGTTTGCGGCAGTACGTCGAACGAGAACATGTCCCTTTTTACGGCGCGTTTCCGATTGTGCAAGTAAAGAGGTGAGTGACCGTAGATTCGCCCGCAGGAAAGATTACTTGCGATAGGAGCAGGGATCCTCTTTAGAGCATTTCATCTTTCCAACCCTGATGAGGATGCGCTTCCCAAATAACTCCATTTTGCGTCTTGCAAGTCTACTACTGCAACTCTAATCTCCATATCAAGGACATTATGCTTGTTAATCATATGATTTCAGTAGCAAATATGCAAACTCCTTACCATTTTTGTATCTAGTTATTTATCTGCAGGACTTGTACTTTTCACATTTTATTGATGATTCGGTGCCATCACTCCCCAAATATGAACTATAAGGCTGTGTATTAACTCTCTAAACTCTTGGTTATCTATTAATAAAGTTTTCCCCCGACTAACACGGTGTGTTGTCTACTCTCTAGATAGTCTGCATCACAATTACTGGGTTTCTTTGGTCGCATGTATTCTTTCATAAATTGGTGCGGCTAATATCAAGTTGATGCATGATGTAGAAGTACTTTTAGTACATCTGTGGAGTTCATGACAGTGACTTGGAAGTGAAACTGTCATGAGTGTGGCGTAACATCTCCTTACATGAGCATATGACAAGTGGGCAAGACATAAAAGGATCTATTATTTACATCAAAGTAATCCTCGTCTACACTTTATATTTGAGCGATCACTTTGAATGTGTCAATCTTGATGTATACGTTCCTTGAAATATTCATGGGAAACATCCGTATCATAAGCTAAATATGTGGACAGCAGTGGCGGTCGCAGGATTTCGGACTGGGGGGGGGGGAGCGCGGAAATTTTTTTTTTCAAATGAAGGTGCGTGGCGTTAGCCACGCACTCCGAAAAAATTTTGGGGGTACTTCTCAAAGTTTCTGCGGGTCCCTAACCCCTAAAATCTGGAAAAAGGGGCGTGACGTCAGCCACGCCCCCGGAAAAATTTTTTATAAGGCTAATTTGAATTTTTAAAGATTTTTAAAAATTATTTTAATTATTTACAAAAATAAACAAGTCGTTTGCACACTTTTATAACCCATATAGGTAAGTTTCAAAAATTTCGCGATCCATTCTCGGGGGGAGGGGGGCGGGCTCCCCTCCGCCTGCCCCCCCTCGGACCGCCACTGGTGGACAGCTATGTTGAGAGATCAAGATGTTAATTCTAGCAATGGCGCCTACTGAATGTCAGTCGCAAGGTGATGTTATGATGTGTTAAGGAAGATTAGTGGCAAAAGGAAAGATTGGAGGCATTCTGATCGTCTTGTTTGGTCGCGTTTGCTACATACTGCAGCTAAGCTCAGCGCCGGATTCCGAGGGATAATTCAAATTTACACTACTGAGAATGCCTTGATATGGGCTTTTTGAACATTGAACTTCATGGTCGTAATCTGCACATCATGGCATTCGTAATTGCATTTCATAAGAAACGGCTTTACCACATCTTTATGCATAGATAATTATTCGTTTCACTCTTGTTATCTATAGTATAGGGGAGTCATCGTGCTTAGATATGTCCGAGCTTGTTTAAGAGTATTGTTTAAGTTCTATTAAAAGCGTTTGATTAGCTGGCGTCCGCAGGGAGCGATATCTCGGCGTGCAATGAATCGTCTATTCTATTCCAATATAATGATCCCAAGAACTGAAAGTTTCAGCTTTGCTGGGGCGTTGTTTAGCATGTTGATAACGGATAAGATATTCATTCGCTGCGGCAGTCCCATATAGAATGGTTACGGAGAAAATATCGTGCATCCCCTAGAGTTGTTCCCATATGAGCCACCGCCTGCCTTTCGATCGTTTTAACACGTTGACTCCAGCAAATTCAAGGCGCTTGCTCGAAGGTGACATGTTGAAATGATCGAAAGACAGCCATGTTGATGGTTGACATGGGAACAATTCCGGGGATGCACCATAAGTGTGGTTCAAAATCTCAGAGATTGCTGTAACTTCTTATATGGGGGTTATGTGACGCTGCTTACCATACCTTCGACATTCAAGAGACAGATCTTAGAAAGTGATAGTTGTTTGAGTTCCTGCCCCGTATAAGAAGTGAAGGTTGTTTCAGAAAAAAGATGGAAATTTAGAGATATGAATTAAACCAGGAAACTTGAAAAATTTATATAAAACAGAGGTTCGCACATCACCAAGTTTGAAACCTTAACTTGGTGGTTTTCTACGCACAGTTTCCTTTTCAGAATTGCCAGAATTAGGTGGCAACAAGAACAAAGCTCTTTTCCAATTAAAAAAGCGCTGTTTAGCTGTGGCCGTAGTTG